TCCGCCACTTTCAAACAGCGTCCACTGTCACGTGACACTGTTTGAAAGTGGCGGGCTTCCTTTAAACGTTGGGTCCCGCCACTATTGAGTCGCTGGTACCTAGTTCGACTCGCTGGTGCATCGTTCGATTCGCTGGCGCAACGTTCGATTCGCTGCTGCAGCGATCGATTCGCTAGCGAATCGCTCGATTCGCAAACTATGACATCGGCCTAGACAGGAGGACGACCACCCTCGTACTAACTAGTATGTGGTAACTTAGTAGTACCTCCCACCGACCTCATGGTAGATCAAAGGTTACAAAGGTCGAGGAAGGGTGCGAGTTCGCGGGTTATGGCCACACACTCCTCCTTCCTGTTCATTTGAGGGTCTTTAGCAGTGATCCAAAATGCTTCCAGCGTCTTGCGCGCCGCGACCTCGGGTTCCAGCGCCAATATGGACACGGAAACGCCAAACGATGAACCTGCGTGGTGTATAACCCGATGAGCTCCTAGGGGGTATGTGTTGTGATCTACCCAGCCCATCCAGATGTTCCTTAACCCGCACGCATAGGGGGCGGCCTGTTTCCCCTATATACTCACTTCTACAACTTTGACAGCGTATTGAGTAGAACACTCCCACCTTCATGCAGTCACCTTCTATAGGGGAAACAGGCACACCCTATGCGTGCGGGTTAAGGAACATCTGGATGGGCTGGGTAGATCACAAACACATACCCCCCTAGGAGCTCATCGGGTTATACACCACGCAGGTTCATCGTTTGGCGTTTCCGTGTCCATATTGGCGCTGGAACCCGAGATCGCGGCGCGCAAGACGCTGGAAGCATTTTGGATCACTGCTAAAGACCCTCAAATGAACAGGAAGGAGGAGTGTGTGGCCATAACCCGCGAACTCGCACCCTTCCTCGACCTTTGTAACCTTTGATCTACCATGAGGTCGGTGGGAGGTACTACTAAGTTACCACATACTAGTTAGTACGAGGGTGGTCGTCCTCCTGTCTTAGCAGGTGAGCAGTCCCATGCCTCTATCGATCAATACCTTTGAAGTTTCCTAGTCTAGTGAAATAGTCTTGAGTTTTTGTTGAGGCGTTTGAGCGAGCAAGTTACACATGCTTTTGACCATTTCAGGCTCTGACGAAGGCGAAGAAGCCGAAACGTAAGCCTTGTATAAAAAGTTCAATCTTGAAAGGCTTGAAGAATCATTCCTACTGAACTAATCATGCCAAGATTGCAAGAAGGTCGAACTTGGACTATTCTGAAAAAAATTAGTCGCTGTGCGCAAAAAATGTAGGTATACCCTGCTTCCGAGAACCAGAGCGCGTCGAGTGCAGACCACACACCACAAGTGACGACGGCCTTCACAAAATGTAATGTTTTCTGCCAATGAAATGATTAGCCTGTTGCAGTTGTATTCTATCAGTTGTCACTAATTACAGTTATCATTATTTATTTATTTATTACGTTTAAGGCAATCGTGGGAAATACAATCGTAATAAATCACTCATGATACAATTAAAACTCATCAGCATCTCAATTGAATGACAAAGGAAAATTCATCACATCACAAAGGGAGGATCAGGAAGAAAGTCAATTTCAAGATACTACGAAACTTCATATTTGAGTAGTTTTGCAGATATCTTCCTTTTGAACTGCCTCAATGACATATGGCTATCAATATTTTTGGTAACTTTTATATATGCACTTGCCGCTCTGCATGTGAAGCTATTGGCTCTCCAATTAGTTTTAGGACATGCTAACATTATTTTGAGCCTTCCTCCTCTTGTTCGAGAAAGAGTTGTTCGATAAAGATCATTTGAGCTAGAGCCACGTAAAGGAAACAGCAACTTATGAACCATGCAAAGATCATACACCTGACGCCTTGACTCAAGTGTAATAATTCAAATTGTTTATTTCTAATCGGTGCTCTGGGGATTCTTGAATAGGGAAAGCTCTTGGTCCGTAAGAGAACTTTACGCGTGTAATTGTTCTGCACCTTTTCTATCGCGTAAACTTCTCTTTTCTTAATCGGGTGAAACACAGCGATACCTGCTTCAACTAATGGACGCACATAGGTTTTAAATGCACGAAGAAGTACAGAGAGACGTTGCTTATCAACTATCAGGTATCATTACGAAGCGCTAGTTATCAGATTTACATAAAGGCTATTGTCGGAGGCCACGCTTGTTATAAACAGCATTGTCCCCGGTAGGGGCTCGCAGGATGTCGCATGCCGGAAAGACTACGAGGGTTACGAACCACCTTGATGCATTGTGTTGCAGTGTTAGGAAGGCAACTGCTCTAGGACCACGTCAAATGTGCAGCTCACGATTTTTTAGGGAATCGCTGTAAGGAGGAGGAGATTAACTCTTTTCGTGAACTAGTCACTTCTCTGAGACTCTTTGATAAATTTAAGCAAGTAATTTACCTTAGGACATCGAATTCAGCTGTGGCAACCATCGCTGGAGGAAGATCCTTTCGTACTCCGAACAACGGCGAAACATCTGGATCAGTTCCCTTGGTAGCGAACGTTTCCAAGAGTGTTTTCTCTCCTGGAAAACTTTTAATAATTTATAATATGAAATCAGATTTGGTAAAACATCGACAAACTAATCACTTCATCCGGCTTTGTCGTCCGTGAGGCAAGGTGCTGATTGGAGGTGAAATCTGGATCTAGATTGATGATCTTCCGAAACTCTTCTGAAGACCTCAACTTCCTAAAAATGTTTCACATTTACCTGGCCGACTGGCAAGAAACCTTGCTCTTGAACGCCAGGAAACGGAGCTTTTCTATGGATTTAACTCCCTCCTCCTGAAAGGTATGCTCCACTGGCATGATTTTTGCACACAAAAATGGAAGCATGAAAGGGATTTAGACCTGCCATGGAGATAAGGGGAAGGATCCAACATAGGCTTTCAAACTAAAGACTTCCTCATTCATGCAGTTCCTTCGTTCTGTCTTCCCTCAAGTCTGCCGACTTATCGGACTTAATTCCCACGTTGGACAGAATTCCAAATTTTACGACCTCCCTTCTAGAGGGCATCGATGCGACCCCCCCCCCAGCTGTTATTTGATTATGAGATCAGTTGACACAGCAACATTTCCTCCACTCACATTTCCTCCAAAATAGCCGTCGAGCGGGGAGAGGAGGGGGGGGGTATAAATAAACACTGAAAAGGCAAATATTTTTGGCACCCACAAAGCGTCAACTACAACGCCCGTTAGTGTAGAATTAACGCTTCCTCCGACCATGCGAATACGACCCCCTCGTTGGACTTTGTCCAAAGGACGGTTGACCCTGCTCTTAGCACGTTTGTACCATCGCCGGCGTTTATGCACCTTCAGATGGACATGTATTCCGCATGGCTGCTCCGACA